TTGTCTTTATTGTGTCGTTTTTGTAGATAAAAAGATCGTTTTTTTGTTATTTACTGGGATAAAGTATCTATATATCCTGTGTGCGAATTTTATTCTTTCTCTGTTTTATGGTTAAGGAGAAGATGTGCAAAAAAAGTAAAAGAGAAGGATGTTTTAATACCAGGAAAGGTATCTGAGTTTGTTTTTCCGTTGTTAATGGAGTTGTCTTCGGTTCGTAGTGAGAGGGTTATTTATGCGCTCAGGGATTTTCTTGTCTGGGGATATACAAGGAAGGAAGTATGTGAAAGGTATGGAGTGACTTACAGTTATTTTTCAAAGGCGTTAAAACGTGTTTGTCGGGTTGGTAATATTATTGTTTGTTTGCTAGAGCATTATCCATTTATTCATTGATTATTCTCTTAATTTATTATGTAGGTTGATATTAGCGTGTTTTTGTAAGCTTGCTAACACCAGCTGTACATCGTTTAAAGCTGGTTTATTTTTAACATTAAGGAGTTTAAATGAAAATGATTAAAACTGTAATGGCAGGTGCTGTTGCTATGGCTCTGGTTTCTTTTGGTGCGAATGCGGATCCTGCAGCAGTAACACTACCTGTAAACCAGGGGCAGGGTGTTGTTAATTTCAAAGGTACTGTGATTAATTCACCGTGCAGCATTGCTCAGGAATCAGCAGATCAGACTATTAATTTCGGTCAGATTTCTAAAAATCAGCTGGAAAAAGGGGGAACCTCAGTCCGGAAGGATCTTGATATTAAGCTGATGAATTGTGATGTTGCGGTAGGGAAAAATGTCAGCGTTACTTTCACTGGTACAACAGTAAAAGGCGGTACTCCGCAGGAGCTTGGTACTACTGGTGATACTGGTACAGCTATTGCGCTGGCCAGTGCAGATGGTTCTCTGGTTACTTTTGATGGAACCACGCCAGGTGGCGCGACTCAACTGAAAAATGGTGACAACATCCTGAAATATTCTGCCTGGGTTAAAAAATCCAGTGCAGCTGGTGCGACTATTAAAGAAGGTGACTTCTCTGCTGTTGCTAACTTTAACCTGACTTATCAGTAAATCATGTTCGTCGGTTTTTAACCGTTATATACGCAGGGGCGTCAGCCCCTGCCATTTCCGAAAAAGAATTAAGGCATGCTGTATGTTCCGGTACGTAATTTTTTCGGTAACGTTCCTCTGGAGTGTCGTGGCTCTGGCGACATCGTCCACTTTTCCTCCGCCGGGAATGACGCTGCCTGAATACTGGGGAGAGAAATATGTCTGGTGGCATGGCCGGGCAAGTTTTAAGGGGCAGGTGATAGCTCCGGCCTGCACGCTGGCTATGGCTGACACCTGGCAGGTTATTGATATGGGTAATACACCTGTTCGCGATTTACAAAACAGCTTTATGGGTCCTGAAAAGAAGTTTCGTCTGCGGTTACAGAATTGTGAACTGGCGGCAACAGGCGGGAGGGTTTATACAGCAGGTCGTGTGCGGATGACCTTTGATGGTTTGCAGGGAGAGACTCCCGATAAATTTTCGCTGACCGGGCAGGCGAAAGGTATCAGTCTGCAGATACTGGATAACCAGGGGTATTCGGCCCGTGTTGGTAAAGCTATGCCGCCGTTATTGCTGAACGGGGATAAAGAAGGACTGGTTTATACTCTGCGGGTTGTCCGGAATGGTGAGCCGTTAAAGGCGGGAGATTATTACGCGGCATTACGTTTCAGGGTGGATTACGATTAACAGAATAAAACAAAAATAAAGACCAGTAACAGGATGGGTACTTTCCTGTAGTGTGTGTTTCTGAAAAGAATCTGAAATTAATCCTGTAATTGGGAGGGATATCCCTTTTTTGTGGGGGGGTAAAGGGTGGTGGCCGGTTATGAAAAATAATAACGCGTTTATATTGAATATGCCTTTTGTTGTTAATGGCATTACATGTGCGTTGATGTTTTCTTTGGCAGCTATGCCTGTTCATGCTGTCGATTTTAATACTGATATTCTGGATGCGGAAGATAAACAGAATATTGATATATCCAGGTTCTCTCAGGCGGGGTATATCATGCCCGGTGAATATCAGATGGACATCAGGGTTAATGACCAGGGGATTTCACCTTCTGCGTTTTTGGTGAAATTTCTGGAGCCATCAGCCTCCGGTACTGACGGAAAGAAGTTGATGCCGCAGGCCTGTCTGACACCAGAAGTTGTTCAGCGTATAGGGCTGACGCCAGCATCACTGGATAAAGTGACATACTGGAATAACGGACAGTGTGCTGACTTCAGTCGGTTGCCCGGTGTGGAAATTCGCCCCAATCCGGCAGAGGGGATGCTTTATATAAATATGCCGCAGGCGTGGCTGGAGTATTCCGATGCTTCCTGGTTGCCGCCGTCCCGCTGGGATAACGGTATTCCGGGGTTGTTGTTTGACTACAACATCAACGGGACAGTAAACAGGCAGCATAAGGGGAGTCAGTCACAGTCACTGAGTTATAACGGGACGACGGGTGCCAATTTCGGTGCCTGGCGTCTGCGTGCGGACTATCAGGGGAGTCTGAATCGCACTACCGGCAGTGGGCAGGGGGGGACGGACAGCCAGTTTACCTGGAGTCGCTTCTATCTGTACCGGGCCATCCCGCGCTGGCGCGCGAAGCTTACACTGGGTGAGGATTTTATCAATTCTGCTGTTTTCAGTTCATGGCGATATACCGGTGCCCGTCTGGAAAGTGATGAGCGTATGTTGCCACCAAAACTGCGTGGTTATGCTCCTCAGATATCAGGGATTGCGAATACGAATGCGCGCGTCGTGGTTTCACAACAGGGACGGGTTCTGTATGACTCAACCGTACCGGCGGGACCGTTCACCATTCAGGACCTGGACAGTTCCGTGCGCGGGCGTCTGGATGTTGAAATTATTGAACAGAATGGACAGAAAAAAACATTCCAGGTCAATACTGCGTACGTTCCGTACCTGACCCGGCCGGGGCAGGTACGGTACAAACTGGTTTCAGGGCGTTCTCGCGGATATGAGCACACGACTGAAGGTCCGGTATTTATGGCCGGGGAAGCATCCTGGGGTATCAGTAACAAGTGGTCACTTTACGGTGGTGGTATCGTTGCCGGGGATTATAACGCTCTGGCGGTGGGGCTTGGTCGCGACCTGAACGAGTTTGGCACAGTATCAGCGGATGTGACGCAGTCTGTGGCCCGTATTCCTGGAGAGGTGCTGAGGCAGGGTAAATCCTGGCGCCTGAGCTACTCCAAGCGTTTTGATGACGTAAATGCGGATATCACCTTTGCGGGTTACCGCTTTTCTGAACGCAACTACATGACCATGCAGCAATACCTGGATGCCCGCTACCGTCATGATTTTACAGGGCGGGAAAAGGAGCAGTACGATGTTTCACTGAACAAGGGGCTTGAAGATGGCAAAACATCAGTCGGCTTTCAGTACAGTCATCAGACGTACTGGGACCAGCGCACATCAAATTATTACACATTATCGCTGAACCGTTATTTCGATATATCAGACCTTAAAAATATTTCCGTGAGTCTGAGTGCTTCCCGCTCCCGGTATCAGCAGAGAAACGGCAATGAGGGAGGAACGTATAACGATTCCGTATATCTGCGGCTGTCCGTGCCATGGGGGAACGGAACGCTCAGTTACAACGGTGGTATGAGTAATGACCGTTACACCAATACAGTGAGTTACAACAGTACGCTGAACGGTGGCCTGGACAACTACAACCTGAGTGTCGGGCTGGACAGTGGTGGAGGACAGAAAACACAGGGACAGGTGAGTGGTTATTACGGTCACAGTAGCCCGCTGGCAAATGTGTCAGCCAGTTTCTCTGCCGTGGAGAACGGTTACACGTCATTCGGTATGAGCGCATCCGGTGGTGCAACGATTACCGCGAAAGGTGCGGCCCTGCATGCAGGGGGCATGAACGGAGGGACCCGGCTGTTGGTGGACACTGATGGTGTCGGAGGTGTGCCTGTCGACGGCGGCCGGGGTTCC